TCCTTCCTTCCTTCCTTCCTTCCTTCCTTCCTTCCTTCTTCCTTTCTTCCTTCTTCCTTCCTCCCTTCCTTCCTTCTTTCCTTCCTTCCTCCTTCCCTTCTTCCTTCTTCTTTCCTTCCTTCCTTCCTCCTTCCTTTCTTCTTCCTTCCTTCCTTCCTTCCTTCCTTCCTTCCTTCCTTCCTTCCTTCCTTCCCAATTCATTGGGCCTTTGCTGGAAGGACAAATTTAATCCTTAGAAAGATTGGTTATGATTATATTATCAATGTTAGGTCTTACTAATGATACCCCTTTCCAGAGACATCACATAACTTATCCATATCCAGTGATGTACATTATATGTTATTTGACACCATTCAATAAAAATCCTACATCCAGGATGATTACAACTTTGCACAAAGAGTCTCTGATGTGAGATAAATTCTGAAAAATGGCTCAAACAAATACACATCAAAATGCAACCTCCTTGTGCTCACCTGGTACCTTTGTCTTTAGTGAACAGATCGGATCGCCACCTTGATGTGAACTAGCTCCCTCTGTGGGTTTGTATTAAGCACCAGTTGTTCCTTTTCTTGCTCATCCATGTAGTTTGAGATGCTTCTTGCTTCATAGAAACTGGGAGCCACACAGAATATCATGTTGTCCCAGATGGATTTTGGAAAATGCCTTCCATCCTGAGTAGATCAAGGAAGGGGCTGCTCCCTTTTGCAGAAGCATCAGCTGCATGGAGGAAATGACCACTTGCTCCTAACGGTCACCCCAGATTCTTTCTATGCTGCAGCTGCGGCCTTAGTGTCGTCTCCCTAAGACACCTGCTGAAGCAATTCGGTGGCTCCTGAGTGCTTGTCTTTTGATCTTACCGGTCTTTCACTGCTCAATACGAAAATAGCTTTGCAGGAGAAGACATGGGCTTTACCTCCTTCAAAGTAATTAAACAAATCTAGTGAAATTCAGTGCCCACATAGGATGCTGTAGCTCCCCTAAGGCAGATTGTCTTACACCCAACCCCATATCTGCTCCCAAAGGGAAGATGTGAAGGGCATGGTGTGAACGGGCAGCCAGTATTACTGAACACTTCAAGTTTGTGTTCCCACCTGGGTGACCTCTGGTTGGAACTCTGTTCTCAAGTCTTGCCGTTAAGATCTCAAAAAGGGGTGCCTGGGTGGCTCAGTTGGTTAAGCGGCCAACTTCAGCTCAGGTCATGATCTCTAAGTATGTGAGTTTGAGCCTGGCGTCGGTCTCTGTGCTGACAGCTCAGAGCCTGGAACCGGCTTCCAATTCTGTTTCCCTCTTTCTCTGCTGCTTCCCTGCTTGCTTTTTGTCTCTGTCTCTCTTAAAAATAATAAACATTAAAAATTTTTTTAAAAGATCTCAAATAAAATAGTTTTTATATGACCTGATTTCATTTTAATAGTATTTATCTGAATTCGTATCGTGTATTTGTTTGTATGATTATTTTTTTGTCTTCCCCCTCTAGAACATCAGCATCATAAGAGCAGTGAAGTTATTTGCTTTGGCTAACATTGAATCCACAGCACTTAGAACAGTACTTAGCACATATGCTAAATAAATGCTTGTAGAATAAATGAAGAACAATGTAGAATTTCCCTAACTATAATCTTAGTTCTTGAGATCAGGGGCCATATCTTATAATTTCTGCTCTTCTCCTTAGAGCCTGGCATGGTATAACTTGTACAGATGGTTTTTAATAAGTGCTTGTTGAGTGGGATTGCACAGGAGAAGGAATATGTGTTGAATCCTTAAGTGGGTCAAAGGCAGAATGGGGCAGGACGCCACCTTTGCAGAGGGCACAATGGGCATACTAAGCTGGGAATGTGGCTCTTGGGTGTGGGGAAAAGGAGAATAAGGTGGTGGACCCGCAAGAGACCTCTAAACTTTCTCTTGTCTTGAGTTCTACTTTTCCATGATCATGCAGTTCAAAACTGTATAGATGTGAATCAGAGAGTGCCAGAGGGGCCAAAGAGAATGTATGTGATGGGGAGATTGGGATCTTGTGGCACTGGTCAGGTTGCTGAATGATTCCAGTTTTTCATTTTTTCATTCATCTTACAAAATACTTACTGATGGGAATGCAAGCTGGTGCAGCCACTCTGGAAAACAGTATGGAGGTTCCTCAAAAAACTAGAAATAGAACTACCCCAGGACCCAGCAATTGCACTACTAGGCATTTATCCATGGGATACAGGTGTGCTGCTTCGAAGGGACACATGCTCCCCCCCATGTTTATGGCAGCACTATCAACAATAGCCAAAGTATGGAAAGAGCCCAAATGTGCATCGATGGATGAGTGGATAAAGAAGATGTGTATACATATATACACACACATACACACACACATATATATATATACACACACACACACACAATGGAGTATTACTCGGCAATCAAAAACAATGAAATCTTGCCATTTGCAACTACATGGATGGAACTGGAGGGTATTATGCTAAGTGAGATTAGTCAGTCAGAGAAAGACAAAAATCATATGACTTCACTCATCTGAGGACTTTAGGAGACAAAACAGATGAGCATAAGGGAAGAGAAACACAAATAATATAAAAACAGGGAGGGGACAAAGCATGAGACTCATAAATATGGAAAACAAACAGAGGGTTACTGGAAGGGGTGGGGAAGGGGGGATGGGCTAAATGGGTAAGGGGCACTAAGGAATCTACTCCTGAAATCATTGTTGCACTATATGCTAACTAATTTGGATGTAAATTAAAAAAAAAAAGACTAAGAAAAAAATACTTATTGAACACCTGCTTTGTTCCAGGTGTTATGCTAGGTACTGGGGATACCCGTGCTGTTCCAAACTTGACAAGTAATGTCAAACATAACAAGGATTCCCAATTCATACAGTGCAAGGTGATAGGGTTGTGTGTTAAACCCTATAGCCCTTTTGCTTAAAAACTGCTTAGCAGGTCACGTCACGATGCAATTCAACACTCGCCTTTCCATCATTTGCTGGTGGAGTTGCTAAGCAGTCTGTGACTGCCTGGTTGGGAGGTCTCCTTTGGGAGTTCCTATCCCTTTTGACACTTAGCAGTCAGGAGAGGGAAGAGTGTCCTTTACCCCCACCCTCAAGCATTCCTTTGTCTCACACCATAGGGAAGGAAGAGAGTCTCCTGCGATATCAATTTTTAATTCCTTTTGGTGGGTGATGAAATTGATGAGATCGGCCGCATGGCCTCCTCTGTACATCTGTGTACCTATTCGTATTTATTACTAATTAAACTTCTATGTCAGTCTATGAGCCACAATGCTGATGACTGTATTTCTAAATGAATGCATGCAAATGTGCCTAGGAGCCGGACAAAGACAGTATCAAATATACTCATTAATAAATAATATCAATACTGTGCATCTGCAGGCTGAGATGTTTTTAACTTCAAAGAAGAGCTTTCATATCTATGATCTCATCTCACACTACATATTATTATTTAAAAACTCCTCTCTAGGGACAGGTTGTTCCACGCATGCAAAGCCGGGCAGGGTGAGGATAATGAAGACCCGCCTCAGGCTACCCGACATCACTCCGCAGGGCAGCCCAGCACTTGGGGCCCTCCAGTCTCGTGGGGTCTCTCTTGGCTTGTTTGAAAACTAAAGGCAAACATGAAAAAGTACACTCGTTTCAAGTGGTGCTGGGAGCACACACACACTCGGGGCAGGAACAGGGAACTAAGGAAGTGAGGCTACTTTCAGGACCGACTTTGGAGCTTCTGCAAACAATGAGAAACAGACAACTTCAAACTCAGGCATCCAGAAAGCCCAGAATTGGAAACCTCTAGTCTCCTGGGACTGAAAAGCCAGTTCCTGTTTACTCTATCTACAGCTGTGACTTTTTCCCTGTCTTCCCCAATTTCTCCAAGAGCGTGCCTTCATTTTCAGGAAGGTTTTTTTTTTTAAACATATTTTCACCTAACCTTTTAAGGTTTTTCTGTTAGACTTCCTTTGGAGTAAAAACACCATGTCATTGTTTTCCTAAGGCTGGGCTGTGATTATGGAAATGCCCTTCTCTGAAATTGCTCGGACATTTAAAAAATAACTCCAGGGCGCCTGGGTGACTCAGTCGGTTGAGTGTCCAACTTGGGCTCAGGTCATGATCTCACTGTTCGTGGGTTCAAGCCCCGCGTCGGTCTTGCTTGATGTCAGCGCAGAAGCCTGCTTTGGATCCTCTGTCCCCTCTCTCTCTTCTTGTCCCCCACTTGTTCTCTCTCTCTCAAAAAATAAGTAAACATTAAAAAAATTTTTTTTTTAAATAACTCAAATAAAAGT